CTGCTTTGTGTTGTTTTTGTTTTGCTACATTGCTGCTTGGGTGGGAGAGCGCTCACGGTGATTCTGTCCCGTGCAGTCTGCTAGCTGACCGACCCGCGCATTTCTCCCTCAGTTGCCTCCCCGTCTCCGGCCTTTGCTGTGCATCACCAGTGACACCCAAGCTAGTGACCGATTTACTGCAGGAGGGAAGGCTGTTTCCTACACTAACTGCATGGCGCAGCTTTTCAGGCTTCCCTTCCCTGGGGGCACCGGGGTCTCCACCCTCCCAGGGATGGCCTGTGCCCGCTGTGTGGCCATCTAAAGCTGCTGCATGACTGGGGCATCGTGGGCAGGAAAAAGCGTCACACGGTCACCGTAGCTTGTCGCCCTGGGCCACTTGTCCGCTCTGCCACTCGGTTTCTTCTCGCCACCTCTTTACTGTTCTGTGGCCCAGTGAGGTCGATCGCTACTTCTGTGACGTGTGTCCTTTGCTGAAGCTGGCGCAGGCACCTGCGGAATCGGCCTCTTGGTGATTGTCAGCCGAGGCCTGGCTGCTTTGATGGCTTCTGCCACTGTGATGGGGCCTTATTTTCTGTCACTGTCAGGGCTTCCCTGCAGAGAGCCGCCCACGGCTCTGCCCCGTGCAGTGCTCAGCTCGCAGCGGTGGCCCTGCTCTTTGTGCCTGTCCCCTCATGTACGGTAGGCCAGCCACAGCTTTTCCAGAGGACAAAGCGTTGGCTCCCTTCTGCACCAGCGCTGCTCCCATGGGGAACCCCCATCCACACACTCAGAAACGCGGGGTGAGGGAAGCCCCGGGCCAGGCGGGCGCCAGAAACCGCCTTTGATCGAGCGCCTTCCCTTCTCATTACTTACCCTGTTCAAGGGACACTTGTTCCACTTTAGTTTAGCAAACCAGGCCCTTCGCTGCATGAAAAATAATCACGACACTGGTGTCATTTCATTAATATTATAGTAAAATTAATGTTCAAATGTGTAACACCAATATTTTACCTGATTTTAATTTTATATAAATAAAAGTATACAGGATACGCTCTTTTTCGTATCTGGCTTCTTTGGATCAGCAGTATGTTTATAACATTTTTTCATCTAGTTGTTCACAGATTTCTTTATTCTCTTTGTTGGATAGCACTGTATGAACATGCCCTGTTTCATACATAAAAATGGCGATGGCTTTCTAAGTCTTTTTAAATTTTTAAAAAATTCTTGGGTATTATCATAATCTTGCCATATAGTTTGGTAAATATAAATAAATGTTTCTGTGAGATATAGACTTGGGTAATTTTCTGGTAAATTATACATATTTTCATCTATTTTAGTTATAAAAATACAAGGTGCGGCAAAATGAATACATATATATGTATATGTACATATGACACTTATGTGTGTGTCCTATAAATAGATAAATGCTTTTCACCATTTAGTTTGTTTTGTTTGCTCTTTGCTTTTAGGAAGGTTTGCATAGTTGAAAATATTTTGATTTTTAATACTGATATCTGTATCTATTGATTAACCCCCTCTTTATTTGTGCATTTATTTATTATAAGTGAATTGAAATAAACTGTTAATGCTCTTTATTTACCAAACTGTGTGATCGTGTAAGGGACCAAGAGCCAACACTGCCACACAACATAATTCATAGCTCAAAACTGAAAAATGGGGAAACAAAGGTAAAGATTAAAGGTGAGCCAGTGCTTGAATGTGGTCACGTAATTTACCGTCTTTGAACACTTGCTCCCTTCTCCTTGAAAGAAAGGGGTGTGGAGTGAATATATTCCACCTATGAACATCTATTTTCCACTTGTTTCTCTGTTGCTCTCTTTAAAGCAATTAATACGCTGAGATTTTAGTGTCTCAATTTAAATCATGGTATCACCCTGCCATCTACTGGATGTTGTGTTTGTATTGCTTGCGAGGGAAAGACAAATTCAGACTCTGCTATGATTTTTGCAGAGACTTTGTACTGGGCTATATGAAAAGACCCTAATTACTATGTAATTGGGTTGACAATAACACCCCAAATAGATGAGAGCCTAAGTTGCAATACTGGGGGAAATGAAAACCAACATTTTGTCTCATTATGTCAAACTAAAAGAAATTAAATTAAAACAAATATGTTGCCCCTTGTGTAATAAGAAATAACAGTAGACTGGAAATTAAGAAATCCATGTCAAGTTTATCTTTGCTCTTTAATCTCTTTTGAAATATGGGCCATACAGGAGACCCAGTTCAGATCAGGGAAAGATAAAGATAATTTCTGTAATCATGTTAATTGTGAGTTATCCTAGACATAGAGCACTAGTCATAGGCATATGCTTTATATTTTCCATTCTCAAAGGTCTCTCTCTCTCTGCATTCATCATCTATCATACTGGATTTGAGAGGCTATTTAGAATTGCATTTCTTATTTCTCATAGTATGCTATATTTATATACTTGTATATGTTTGCAAGAATGGTCTTCTCATTTACAGACAAGAGTTAGTAAAGCTTGACTTAAACCAAATCCTTATTGGCTAGTAAGGTTAGTGTATGCCTATTTAGTTACTATAATACTTTTATTAAATGGGCAGTTCAACCAACCTGTTTGGCATGAATACGTTCTGGGTTTAGAGAAGCATGAAGATAATTTAAAAACAGTGGAGTGTTTTGAGAAGACCAAAAAGGAAGTGATCTTATTGACAGCTCTATACAGATAGGAGGATTAGTCACAGGATCTGGGAAATGAAGAGAGACATTGTTTTCTTTCTCAAGAGCCTCCCCCTTCCTTTTACTGACATTGAGTTTATATCAGTATAGCCCTTCTCTATGTCCTATTAGTGAAATTGAGCAACCCAGGGACTATGAGTCATTTATACTATTTTGTTTCTGGACACTTTGGAGACAAAGTTCTTTTTTTTTTTGTTCTGAAAATTTTTTTTGGTGTGTGTGTGGTTTTTAAAGTAATGGAATGAATTCTTTCTCTTGAAGACATAGAAAACAAGATCAGCCTTTCCAATTTTAGCTAAATAATGTTTGAAGACATTACTGAGAGTTCCCTTTTGTTTCCTTTCTGTAGTAAGAAGCATCTTCAGGCCCTTGATTAGTTTATTAGATGCTAGGTGCTTTGGTTCCTGTATATATCACTGTTGATTACTTGACATTGTAAGGTACCTATCCAATTATCGTTAGTTATTGGAACCATTGGGTTACCTGCAATGAAATGCTGTCAAGAATATAATGCTCCCTTCCAAACTAAAATGAGAATGGCGGTTACCTCTTACCGTCTGCATAAACTATTAATGCAGCAAAACTAAATGCCATGACTATAATAATAGAATTAAAGTTCATTCACAATACCTATACCTTTTTACAACCACAGCCTCTTCATTATTTGAAACTTGTCCTGTTGGCCTGGGACCCTATGACAGGGGTCAACAACTGACACGAGTCCCAACTGCATTCCTTGCAAAATTTGGCTCCTCTGATCCCTCCAACCTTATCTTGTGCTGCTCCCTGCATGTACCTGCTTCTAACTGATAGGAATATGAACATCCAAATTCCTACCTTTGTTCATACTATCTTCTCTGCTTAAAAAGTCTTTTGTTTTTCTTTCCTGTTTCTGTAATCTATATTAACATTATAGTTTGGCCCCAAGTTCAAAGTCGTATTCTGATTTTGCCAATCAGGAAAAATCTTTGACATTATTTAACGATCTCCACTTCTCAAGAGAACGCCTAATAACCTTGACAAAAGCTTACATAAAAAACATAACAAAGCAAACAAAACAACTTACACATAGTGACAATGCAGAAACGTTTTAAAATTGTTTTTTCTCCCACTATGTTATAATTACATTAAAATAATAACATTATTATAAGCCAGGTTCCTGTATTACTACTCAAAGGACATCTGCTTACTGATCTGGAAATAATTTTGGACCTTGCACAATCAAGAAATGAATTTGCATTGCACTGGTTCACAAACCATGAGTCATAAATCAAATTTGGTCTACTCTCTTCTTATAAATAAAATGTTATTGGAACAGAGCCATGCCCATTGATTCATGCATACAGGGATGCATACATGTACAGCATACAGAATCAGAGAGTTAAGATTGAGACTATATGGCTCACAGAGCCTAAAATATTTACAATGTGAATCTACAGTAAAAATTTGCTGACACCTTTCTATTAAATTAAGTAACTGAGATTGAGATGTTTACATGTTAAGATATGGCAGCTTCTTAAATAGTATATATATAATTTTTCAATTTCAGTAACAAATATAAGCACTGAGTAGCATTGTGCTCATATTTGGAAGAATAATCTAAACAGTAGTATTTTAAGAAAATCAGTTGTTTTCATATAAAATGAAGCTCACAACACAATGTGAGGATAGTACAAAGAAAGGATAGTAAACAGCATAACCAAAATATGATACTTATTATATAAGTTTTATATTAAGATACATAGTAATAAACATGTATGTACATAGGTAAAACCAGGAATACGATCAGGATGAAGATTAGTTATCTCTGAACTTTTGCCCAATAGTTGATACTTCTTTTGTACATTTCTGTATTTTACAGGTATCTAAAGACAAAATATTTTAAACCTGGTTGAACATTTTTAAAAGATTGATAGATTAAAATTGATGAAATTATTCCCCAATATTTAGAAGAAATGATATGCAACCAGAATGTCACATGAGACATTACTTCACCTAATTGCTCTCTCTGCGGCCTCCAAGGCAATACTTCAGTATTCTCCAGGGCTGACATCCCTGAGGCCTTGGTGGCATATATGTTAGCAGGTTGGTGTTAGCATTCAGCTTTTTGGTCTCCCTTTCTCTCTGCCATCTCTAACTTCATTTACAATAGATCGGAGGAAATTTCCTTAAATGTTGCAATATACTCTGGGCTCCTGTTAATATTTTTACAGGTTACTATATATTTTTTTAAAAGTTGAATTCTCAGCAGGAACTTTCCTGGAGTTCATTAATTTTAGCAAAGAAACTTTAGTAAATGAGCACGTCAAACTCTTCTGCACTCAGGTGAGTTGATTCCCTCTTATTTCACTTTAGAAGGAAAATAATGAATTCCAGTAATCTTTGCAGGAGGCAAGCACATGTGTCACTCTAACAGCCAGGATACCTACTTAGCCAACTGGAAGTATTTGGAAATTCACTGACATACATCACTAGGAAAGTTTCAGTTTTTGTTAATCACAATATTCTTATCCTCTTTATATACACAATTAAAAGAATATTTTATTGTTGAGAGTCTTCCAGATGTCCTGCATTTCCCCCTCTTTGCTCCTCTCCACTCAGCTCCCTCCCCACAATCTTTAATTTTAATAACAAAAAGAATTATATGTTGTAATATGTCATTTGTAATTATATATATTATTCCTCAAGATAATTCTCAGAAGGGAAAAAAATTTGAGGGTGAGGCCCGTATTTTATAATTTCACAGTTTCTAGAATGCCTGTGACAGTGCTGAGCACAGGGTGGCTCTGCAGTGAGAAAGCCGCTCCAGCTCAGGCGCCCCCAGAAAGGAGGGGAAGCGTGTGCTCGCACCTGGAGCTCCCCGTCAGCTGAACGTGGCTCACGCTCCTGAGCCTAAACGGGGGGCCGTGAACTCTTGCCCCAAGTCTGCTGGTATAAATACGGAGGGCAGGAGGTAGAGCGAAGAGCTACACATGTGGGTAAGAATGAGATGAATATATATCAGAAATTATATTGATCTTTCTTTAATTAAATCTATTGGAGTGACATTTGTTAATGAATGAAATTTTATAGGTTTCAAGTGTACATTCCATGATACATCATCTGTATATTACTTTTTGTGCCAACCACCCAAAGTCAGATCTTCTGTCGCCTTATATTTGAGCCCCTTTAACCTTTAAGTGTACGACCATGGCCATGAAGGGTGAGTCAAATGGAAATAAAATTATTGGGAGAGATCAAGAAGCTAAGAGAATAAGGAACTGCAAGGATTGTCTTTGTGTCTATGAAAACTTCCTCAATGCATAACCAAATAAAACCACACTGCAATGCCTCAGGAACAGTGCCCATGTTTGGAGGGTTGCAGGTAGGCTAAGTTGGCCACTTAATGATGATGTGGTAGAAAGGTCTCCAGCATAATAAAAACAGATGGGACATATTATAATTAAGGTCACTTCTACAACAAATCCCTATAAATATCAGATATTTCAATACGCCAAGAAAGGATAACAGATTTTTACAATTTTCAATAGGTAGGTAAATATGGCTGATCAAGTGGATTATTTTTCTGCAGGAAATATCTGAAATATGAGGGGAGAAATATGTGATCAAACATAAGAAGCGATCTAGAAAGGGAAATTCAGAAATAGCTCTAGCAACAATAAGAAGAAAGAAAAAGAAAAATTATAATGATGATTTTGCTAGATCATTAATTTATGTTTGAGTTCTAACTTCTCTTTGTCAAACTGGTTAGGCAGGGAAGGAACTATGGAAACTTAGGATATGTGTTTCCTCCAAGACAAGCGTTTTAAGTAAACTCATATTTAGGCCAAAAGCTAGACTGGTCCCTCTCATGCTGCCAACTGTCTCTGAGGATACTGAGTCCGATCATTTAAAATATAACAGAGCCAACTCTATTTTTGTTCTTCCTCTCTCAACTGCCTTCTTTTATTATTCCATCTGCACAAGTGTCACATTCGTTCTAGAAACTGTGATATCAGTAAATTCTAGCTTTTGAAATAATGCGACACATGAAAGCAAGTATTCTCCACAACACTCTGCATACACACTGTGCCTCTCAACATTTGCTCAGTCTAACCTGCCTTATCCAAATTTTGCTTCTCATTTCTCTGAATCAACTTTCCTGTCCACAGGAACCAAGAAAACCAGACTGATGAAGTCACTTTCATTCTTTTGGGCTTCTCAGAATATCCAGAACTCCAGGTGCCTCTGTTCCTGTTGTTCCTGACCATCTACACTGTCACTGTGCTGGGGAACCTGGGCATGATCATGACCATCAAGATCAATCCCAAACTCCACATCCCCATGTACTACTTTCTCAGCCATTTGTCTTTCGTTGATTTCTGCTACTCTACGGTGGTTACACCTAAACTATTAGAAAACTTGGTCGTGGAAGACAGGACCATCTCCTTCACAGGATGCATCATGCAATTCTTCTTGGCTTGTATATTTGTGGTGACGGAAACATTCATATTGGCAGTGATGGCCTATGACCGATTTGTGGCAGTGTGTAACCCTCTTCTCTACACAGTTGTCGTGTCTCAGAAGCTTTGTTCCCTCATGGTAGGTGCATCGTACTCTTGGGGTATAGCTTGTTCCCTGACCCTTACCTACTTTCTATTGGAATTACCCTTCAGAGGAAATAATATCATAAATAACTTTGTCTGTGAGCACTCTGCCATTGTCTCTGTGTCTTGTTCTGACCCCTACATTAGCCAGAAGATCATTTTAGTCTCTGCCACATTCAATGAAATAAGCAGCCTGATGATCATTCTTACTTCGTATGTTTTCATTTTTATTACTGTCATGAAGATGCCTTCAACGGGGGGGCGCCACAAAGCCTTCTCCACATGTGCCTCCCACCTGACGGCCATCATCATCTTCCATGGGACCATTCTTTTTCTCTACTGTGTGCCCAACTCCAAAAACTCTTGGCTCATGGTCAAGGTGGCCTCCGTCTTTTACACAGTGGTCATCCCCATGCTGAATCCACTGATCTACAGCCTCAGAAACAAAGATGTGAAGGAAACAGTCAGCAAATTAATCAATACAAAACTATTGCGTCAGTTAATGCGAAATGACTAAGATTTACGTAGGCTGCTTAGTAACATGGTAGCTTATGGTCACTCATTCAGTCTCAATTAGGGTCCATTAAAAAGTCAGAAGCTGTTTTTCAAAAGGTGAATAGTTATCTGTAGAGGAAGTTACTGCTTTGTTTTGAAATCCTGGTGGTCGAATCTGTAATTCACTATAGGGGCTTATCCAAAGTTCTGAACAATCCTTTACCTGTGAACACACTTCAAGGACAATCATATATGCTGGATCATTTGTCCCAAACAGCACAGCAGCTGGCATGGCAGACTGGACTTGTTGGAGTTTCTCTTGTTTTGGGACCCACAAAAAATGAACAATATTTTGAATAACTTTGTAAGGGGGCTGGAGTAACTTGCCTAAAATGGATGTATGCTGCCCACCAAATCAAAAGAGGCCCACTGAATTTTGCTGGAGAGGAGGCAGAATTTGAGAAATATGGCTTTACCTTAGTTATATTAATTCCAGAGGGCATTTTGGTTGTGTGCAAACACAGGCTGGTAGTCGATTTCGAGATGCAATTTTTCTATGTAACTTCAAAGAAATTCCAGCCATTAAAAATGGCACAAGAGACCTGGCATTTGCCTTAATTACCAGTTTCAATGCTTGCGAGACATGTTGCTAGGGATTCTCCAGAGTTTGAGTCCCCAGGGCTACAGAGTTAGATGTAAGAGCCTTGGTACCCCTGTTATACTCAGCTTACGAGAAACAGGAGGGTGGTGGCCTGTTTCTCTGTAGCAGGTAAGTTCATTTAGGTTTCTATGAAACAGTGAACATACTTTTATTTTTCTTTTGATAGTAGGTCTCTGTAAATGCTCTGCAATTCCGAGTCTAATTATATTAAAGAAAGAAGTTAGCACTCATGGAAATATTTGGCTTCAAGTCCATTGACAGCTATTTCACAAAGAACAGAATACACTTTCCATCTGGAAATAAATATTTACTCATATTCTCTTTTTATGCACCTCATATTGGTATATCGACTTTCACAAGAAAGTATTAGTTAGTTCTGAGAGAACTCTACATGATAAATCTTGAGACCCTTAAGAGATATATCTATACGATGTCTGGGCTGTAATAAGAGGCTAGCCCTTAGACTATAAAGCCTAATAAAGTATACACTACATTCAGAGGTCAAAAGGAATCATTGTCCTCCCCAACCCCTCAGTAGCGAAGGTAGTCAACGAAAGAAGTAGCCTTTTCTAAACAAAAGGTGCTAAAAGGGGATTGATATTCTTTTTTCCTAGATTTCTCTAATATTTTACTTTATCCCTAGAATAGAAACGTATCCTCTTGAAGATTTTAGTTGATTTGTGTGTACAGGCAGAATACAGTAGCAATATATGTTCTTTTTTGAGGCAAACATTTCAGTTTTTCACAGACTCACTATGCATTTCTGTGCAAACATTTTTATCAGTTGTTTGCATATTATGCTACTAGCTAGTGTGGATGTACATACCGTACTATGGTTAGTATTTCTTATGGAAACACAAATTGCAATGGAAATGCAAAGATGCTTTAGAGACTCAGCTTGGTTCGTTACATCCATAGCAGTTATCTACATGAGACAAGTTCTATATGGAAGAAACTAGGACCCAGAACTCTTTCTTCTCATTTTCTTTGGTGTTCCACAGAAATTCATGACGTGTTTGTCGCTTACTGCCATAAATTTCTTTGACAGACACAACTCTCTTCCCCCACCCCTCCCTTCAAATGTACTGTGGTGATGGCTGCAAGAAATAATGAGCGTGGAGACGATCTTTGTCCTCTTGGGTTTCACAGATTACCCAGAGCTCCAGATTCCCCTCTTCCTCGTGTTTCTGGTCATGTACATCGTCACCGTGGTGGGCAATCTTGGGATGATAGTGATCATCAAGGTTAACCCCAAGTTTCACACCCCCATGTACTTTTTCCTTAGTCACCTTTCTTTTGTTGATTTTTGCTACTCTTCCATCGTTACTCCCAAGCTGCTTGAGAACTTGGTCATAGCGGATAAAAGCATCTTCTACGCTAGCTGCATGTCGCAGTACTTCCTGTCCTGTACGGCTGTGGTGACTGAGTCCTTCTTGCTGGCAGTCATGGCCTATGACCGCTTTGTGGCCATCTGCAATCCTCTGCTCTACACTGTGACCATGTCGCTGAGGCTCTGTGCCCTGCTGGTGGCTGGGTCGTATCTCTGGGGTATGTTTGGCCCCTTGGTACTCCTTTGCTATGCTCTCCAACTCAACTTTTTTGGATATAATGTCATTAACCACTTTTTCTGTGAATATACTGCTCTCATAGCCGTTTCGAGCTCTGATACACACATTCCCCACCTGCTGCTCTTTGGTTTCGCCACCTTCAATGAGGTGAGTACACTACTGATCATCCTCACTTCATATGTTTTTATTTTTGTGACTGTACTAAACATCCCTTCTGCCAGTGGGCGTCGCAAAGCATTCTCTACCTGCGCCTCCCACCTGACGGCCATCACCGTCTTCCATGGGACCATCCTTTCCCTCTACTGTGTGCCCAACTCCAAAAACTCTCGACAAACCGTCAAAGTGGCCTCTGTCTTTTACACAGTGGTCAACCCCATGCTGAACCCTCTGATCTACAGCCTGAGGAACAGAGACGTGAAGGACGCCTTCAGGAAATTCATAGACATGAAAGTCTCATCTCACTGAACCAACCTCAAAGGGTGTTTTCAACCCTGATGAACAACAGGAGCAGAGCCTATACCACTTCTAAAATCTATAGCATATATTTGCATGAAGTTTTCAAAGATGGCTGTGATGTTCCTATATTGTGATTTGGTTAGCTCAGATCCCTTGAAGATGCCAAAGAATTTAATTCTGGGATGGATTCCACAGGATTTTGATCTGTAAAGCATTTATTTCTTCAAATTTTGTAAAAAAAACCCAAAATGCACACACGCATAAAAATACTACAAAGCACAACAGGTGATCCATGTGGGGAACAAAGTTACTAAGAGGATGATCTTGACTCACCTTAGGAAAGGTGTTTCTGCTTTGTTACTTTATGTGACCACAGGTGACTTGCCTTTAAATTTATTTGTGTTGTGTGTCTTTGTTGGGAGATACAGGTGGATATGCTGTGTGATAAAAGGGGGACTAAGTCTTTTCTGACACCTTCCTTCACTGGGTTCTGTGCATTCCATGCATGGACAGTCTCTTGGGTTGAGAAGGGCATTGGGCAAGGACTCTTGTACCTGCTGTGTAGATGATGCCACAGAAGGTCAAGAAACTAGTCTAGAAATGACTAAAGTGACTAATTTAAGACAGGAACTTGCTGTTGACTCCAAATCTAGTGCCCTTTTCACTATTATATCTATGAAGCTATTAGTCTGAGAGGTCATGAAAATTAATTGCGTCACTTGGAAATAATCTGTGGAGCCACTTCAATTTTCCTAACTTGTGCGTGAATATTATTTCTCAAAAGGCTGCATTCCCAATATTATCAGGTCTGGAAATTTCTATAAGCATTATCTAGTCTAGTTCATATGTATTAGGATCAGAGTAAATGTCATATAGTTTTCATCTGCAAATACTGAGGAATCATACTTCAGATTTTCTGTTCTGATGTTTTTACAAATGACTACACAAGCACAAATATCCAGTAACATACACCTTAAAAATCAAAGCAAATTATAGCAGGAAGGCTATCCTTATAGAATTTAAAATGAATTATAGACATTATTATTAAAACAGGGTCATATTGGAACAAATAGATGGCCATGTGAGAAAAAGATAAAATTAGATTTCTTCTTTATTTCACATGCCATAAGAGAGTTCTAAAAACAGGTTTAAAATTTTGATTACATGAATACACAAAGCTTCTTGGCAAAAACCCCAGAAACATATTAAATTAACAAAAAGCACCCCTTATGTCGCATATAAAGGGTTAAAATTATATCGATAAAGCTTTTGGTTCTGTCATCCCAGAGAATTTCTGCAGACCTGAAGTTATTGGAAGCTAATTTTTAAACGAAAGAACGCTGAAATAGTACTCTACTAATATTATCCCATATTTTGTTATCACTCGAAGGAATACCAACTTAATTGCATAAATACATCTTTAAAGGACACCCACTGATACACCCAGATAGGCCTCCATCTTTTTCTTTCTGCCATAAATAATACCATCCTGACATACCCACGTTATATTTTCGATAAAGGGATTTAGAAAGCGCAGAACGTCACCACAAGCTGCAGAGTTGTTGAGATGCATCAAAAGGCCGACTGTCTATTGGGCAACTGCTTGTATTTGCTGTTCCCTATGCCCCAAACTCAACACTCTTGCCCCAGCTTTTTGTGTAACTTCATAATGGTCTGTGCTCAGATAGCACCTCACTGTGGTCTCATCTAACCTCCCTATTTAAAATGACTCCTTCAACTGTATATATATTTTAGCATTAGTTATTACCAGAAAATGATTACATTTCTATTTGTTTTTGTATTGTCCATTAAATATGAACCTGTTGATGAAGGGGCATTCTTCCCCTCCCCCCCAAAACCTAAGATAGTATCTGTCTCAGGATAAGCCTATAATAAATATGTTTAATGAACAAATGAATAAATGAGTGAGTAGTTATGTATCCTTATTATGTGCTCAGCCTCCTTTCCCGGGTTCCTGCTCCAGAAAGCAAAGTTCACAAAATGGTCACTGTGGATTCTGATCAGTGCATACACACCCTTCAACCAGCCCATGTTCAGTGGTGTTGCTTGTTATTACGAGAGATCACATATCTTTCGAGAGAAGAGTTTTAATGTGAGTCATGTCTGTGTTACTCTTATATCAGTAGCATAGCCTTGCATGTAATGGGCATGCAAAAACATTTGCCGAATGAAGGGACGTGATACTACTTTGGTAAAGCTACTTTTAGGATGTTCTAAAGGAATATTTATGGCAGAGATTCCCATTTGTAGGCAGTTTCACTGTGCTGTATCTGATTTTGAAAGTTTAAGATTTTATTGTAATAAACCTGACAAGAG